AGATAGATAGATAGATAGATAGATAGATAGATAGATAGATAGATAGAGATAGAGCTACAGTGCTTGCCTCTTTCAACATTTTAAACCCATTTTTCATTCCTACCTTCTGTGTGAAGCATAGTTTCCAGTCACATGTCCAGATCCATCACAGCCAGGTGTTGGGCACCTGCAGGTTGAGAGACACAGGCACCAGGTGCTCTTTACAGCGAAAGTCTGTGATTTGGGCAGCAAATCAATGCTAATATGCAGAAAGTAGTACAAATAGCAAAGCAACTCCACACTGAGTACATAGAAAGCCTGCATAATGTTGGAAGAACAAGGAGAGGAAAAAAAGAGGGAGCTGCCGAGTTAAATCGGAACATTTTTTAGCAACAAGAACTGTTTTCGAGACACATACTTTAGTTCCTGAGAGTTGGCTGCCATCAGTGATTTGAGGGTTTTGTCAGCCAGGGGACATCCAGACACACTAGAGAGGATAAAGAGCTAAGAGTCATTTTGATTCCTTCTTTGATCACAGTTGAATTAAATATTCTTAATACAATGTTTCAATACATGTTTCTACAATTCTTGTGATGACATAACTTTGCTTCGCCCTCATCTTATCAAAAAGCTATTTATTAACATTACGCTTAAAAAAACACTCTTCATGTGATGCAGAAAGTCTACAAGCTTCTATGCATGACAAGTTTTCGGCTGTTAAAAAGAACATAATTGAATAATAAGCACTGTTTCCCCTTTCTGAATATCTTCTAACTGGTGCTTATGAGAGCGTAATTAATTACAGTACCTCCGATGTGAAGCATAATTCCCTGTCACATGGCCACTGCCGTCACAGCCTGGGGTTGGACAGCTGCATGGGAACACAAAGCATTTAATATGCAGATTACTCCACTTCCCGCAGACTTTGCCAAGCTTGAACTGAAGCCTTCTTTTAAACTGAGAACCTTTTCATAGGAATTAAAGAAAAAACTAGAGTTAGTACAGCCGGAAGTTTAGTAGAAATTCATGATTGCGATAACTTTGATAACTTCTCTGAGCGGCACTGAGGAGATCTGAGGGGGTGCTGTGCTGAGGAAACTAAAGGATCCTACTTTTTTCTTGTGAAGTGACCCAGCAGAGCATGCACTCTAACTACAAGAGTCAAGAGTTGTGTTAAGCTTATGCAGGACATACAGGGAGAAAACTCACTTTCAAATAGAAACAATTCTTCTCCACATGAACCTGCAGACATATCAGTTACAATCACATGTGACATAGGGAGTTTCATTTTTGTGCTTTGACCCACTTAAATCAATCTGCTCTATGCCCTGGAGTTAGATTTTTTTTTCCATCATTAATACTGACCATCTCCAAGTAAAAGGGAAGGTCAGATTACACAAATTTGACTGAATTTTTTGCTACTCATCCCCACGTACCTCAAAAGCTCTTTCTTTGAATCTCGTAGTAGCAGTTTGGCTTTGGAGCTTAGCATACTGCCGTCTCCTTGATAGTGCTGGTCTTCCAAAGAGACCTGATCATAATCCTCCTGCTGAGAAGGAAAAAATAACAACATGGCCTTAAGTGTCCTGGATGTCAAAACTCATTCTTCAATGACCTAAAAGTGAATAATTAATTAAATCCCCATGTAATACTCTTAAAACATTTGCTTGGGTTAGAGTGCAAGGCAAAGAGATTAAGCGTACGAATACTCCTACTGATGTAAACCATACATCCATTTAAAGTCACACTTAATCCACCAAGTGTTTATGATGCACAGCCACAAGGTAAGGATTTCTTCCTTTTTTCAAACAGTCAAGATTGTGCAGTCACCAGATGTTGTATAAGATTTTTAAATCAGGTCAGTGTCATAATTACTCTATGCTGCTACACGAGCGCAACTTTAAAACAAGAGATACCTTCAGAGCCCTGCATGAGATTCATTCAGAACCCCTGAGCCACAATGTGAGGAACAGATAGCATTTGTCCTCATGTGAGCGCGCTTAGTACATTTTACAGATCAGCGCACTTGACAGGAACCGCTGTTTGGCTTTGAAAAATATAGCAGCACTGTGTTAATCAGTGGGAAGATTGGAACACATTCTTATTCTAACTAGCAGTGTAGCAGCTAACACGGAAAACCAAGGTAATTTAATTTGATGCTGTTTTCACAGACTGACGGGAGATTTTAAATCCTGTAATTTTTGTAAGTGTAACTGCATTTATTGAAAATGTTATTTTCACACTGTGTAATATGCAAAAGACAGACAAATTAAATATATATATATAGATGTATATATTTATTTTTTGTTTAAAAAAATGAATATGTGAGACGATATTTTTGTTACTGGAAATAAAAAATGTTCCACTTCCGTGGAAGACATATGTGCATTTGTTATAACTGCAGCACAGCTAAACTGCATGTCACATTCAATGCCAAATCTTGCAGAGTTAATTATATATTCTTTAAATATTGTTCCTTGAATAAACAAATAACTTAGCTGTGCAGTGAAGAAAAGAAGATATAATCTCCTGTAAACAAATTAGGTAAACTGACTCCCACTATGGCACACAGAAGTGTTTTTAGATAAATTCAAAACAATACTTTTCATAAGGCACTCTTATGTCCAAATTCAAACATATATTAAAAAGTTGCATGTCTTTGACATACCAAAGAAATAAGTCTGAGCAAGGTGCATCATTTTTATTTTTTTACAAAGCACTAGGTTATCTATTCTTCAAACAAGAAGTTAAAATTAATTCAGTTTAAGTAGATTGCAGATGAAAGTTATATAAAGTACATTAGAATTTCGGTAATTGAATTAAAAAAGACTTGGTAATTTTTACTATGAAGCTATAATCTTCCTCTATTTCAAGAAAAGTTTACTGCATTTTTTCTTCTTCAGTTTGTGGAGCAGAAAAGTGTTATTCCTTTTTAAAGTTTTGGATTATTTGGTCTCAATCTTTCACCATTTAAATTTTGAGTAGTAGTAGTCGTTTTTTTTTTACCTCTTTTTCCTGTAAAGCGAGGGCTTTACTGAAGTTGACGGGGATGGGGTTCTCCCAGCTGTCTCTCTCACACAGCGGCTGGTAGAAGGCGGGACTGATCAGCACACTCCCGCCTTTGGCCACGTTGGACTCCGGAGAAGACAGCGGGTCGTCCGGGGGAGGCTTGCTCTGAGCTTTTCCATTCTCCTTGCACTTCTTCATACTTAGGTCCAGAGTGCCATTTTCATCCACCTCTATGAGCATGTCCTACAGAGAGAAAATATAAATGGTAATCATTTAACAGCCCAGGTGAGAGACAAGCTGAAGGAGGAGCGACAAAAAAAAGGGCTGCGAGTGGTAAAATGTTAAAACAAGGATAAAAAAATGCAAGGTATTTTCTAATTACAGCCTCGGGAATGTAAATAAGATGATAAAATTCCTCATTAATATGAAAGCACTAATATGATAAACGTGAACCCAATGACACTTAACTGTAAACAAGAAAAGTGACTTGAAACACAGAGCAAACAAACAATCTATTTAAAAAATGCATACGGTGGTTATCTCATGTCAGACAAAGTACCAAACTAAGCCAGCGTTAATTCTGCTGAACATGAAAAAAATAATCACGGGCGTGTAGTGTGTCTGTGACAGCTGTGTCATCTGTTTTCTAGGACACACAACCAAGATGGCAGGTGGGGGTGGGGAGAGGGAGAGGGTGGGTCGGTGTGGGAGGAGGGTTGGTGATTTTAGGTCATCATTATTATAACAAATTTTAAAAAGCTTAATGTGACATAAGTTTCCCTGTTGACAGATGTGTTAGTTGTTTTTTTGTGCTGAACCACAGGAACACGATGACTTATGACTTTTTTAGGGTATTAAAAGTTGGAGCTCATTAGATGCTGAAATTCTTTTCCTTACATGACACAAATGACGATATCCATATTTGTCATTAAACCTACACATCATTATTCTTTTTTTTTTTACAAAGCGAGGCGTTCAAATAATTAAAGAGATCATTTTCATGAACGCTGGATGTGGTTGTCCGGTTTAATTATCTGGCCATTTGGCAGTGATGATGTATACCCAATGAAGATGACATCAGTGTAAAATTGAAGGATGTGCAAGTTTGTATTGTTTTTTTATTTTTTGACTAGCCATATAATTTAAGGTGCAACAGTAATAAAAAAAACATATCTCTTTAGAGTAATTTATAATACATTCATTATTATTTATTCAGCAATACAGGCTTTTTTTTGTCTTGTAAAAGAAAACTTTTGGATGATGTCTATGTGTGCTATAATTCATGTGCATGCAAGTTAAAGCTTCCGACACGCAGCCCTCTAAATATGGCCCCTTCGTTCTCAGACTAAAGCTGCTCTTCAATTTGTACGTCTTTCCAAGACAACTAAGCTGTAAACGAGAACAGATGATTAACTTGCTAACACTGTTTTATTCATTCAGTGGGCTGGTACCTGGTACAGGGCCACGTTCTCGGCTCCACAAGCTGGGAGACAAGGATCTGTGCTGTGTAGGTGTGGAAACCTTGAATCATCTACAGTACAGTGTGCACGTATGTAACCCACAGAATGTGATCAATATTAATCATGAAGTGAGTGGCGGAAAAAAAAAGAAGTTGAATACAATGCCATACTCTCAGCAGAGTTTGGATCTGCACACATTTCCATAAAGAGTTTGGATTTTGTGTGAATTAAACTTTTGATATGTTAACTCCTCTAGCTGATTGGCTTAATCCATTCGAATGCTTTTTAAGATGATCTTGTGTAGACACACGGCCTATGTTGGATCATATCACTAAGCAAAATATCCTCTGCCATCTGCAGTGGGCAAAAGGAGTTTCCAGACAACACTTCCATGTCTTTACATGCCAGCTGATGTCGAAACAAAATGAAACGCCACATGTTCCCCCCTCCCCCCCACCCCCCCAAAAAAATTGTAGTTGTAATTAGAAAAGCAGACTGATATCATTTAGCTCTTTATTTGTATACATTAAAGCTGTATAGAGTAAGGATCCCAACTCAGTACCAAGCTTTCTTTTGTGATGGTTTTTATACATCAGAGTTTTTTTTCAAATGAGCCCATTAAATATATTTTCAAATGGTCCATGTGATCACCTTTGTGGAGGTTGTCAAGGGCCGGCCGGTGACAGCCTCCATGTTTTTCCGGTAGCGGGTAGAAAGGTTGAGAATGGCGGCTGTGGCGGCCGCAGCCTGGAGACCGTCTTCTTTCTTGAATTGAGTTGGTGGGCTGTGCTGGCCAGAGGTGGGCAAGCGGCCACCTGGAGTGCCGAGGAAGCCAGGATACCGCTGAGGTGCTAAGACAAAAAGCAATTAGCAGAGAATTTGGTTTAACGGAGCTCCGGATTCCATTTTGAGATACGTACAATATACATCTAATTACAAGCGCATGAATGAAACTTACAGTCAGGGTAATGGGAAATATCATGGTCCGGGTTGGGCCCCAGTAGTGGTTGTTTGCCGAAAACTTGTGCATCAAAGCTGGCGTAATCAAAGCGAATTCTGCTGTACTTGTCCATATCTTTTGTGAGGCTAGTTTGTAAGGCTGCTACTGGATGAGAGAGCCTGTAGTTCAACTGATTCATTTCAAACTTCTTTATCAATCCAATGGCCCTAAAAGAAAGCAAATAAATTAAAATTATATATATTGCATATATAAAATGAGTGTGTGTGTATGTGATATTATTAAAGAGGTGCTCAAAAAGTAAATAGGAAAAAAACACTAGATTGTGGGAATTTTGTTTGAACATTGAGAGATGCCAGTGCTTTTGTACACATGAAATCTGGAATCTGATGTGTGTTGTAGATCCACAGCCAGGTTGCCAGACTAATTAATATAGTAAGAGTGGGCCTACTGCCCATGATATATCCACAGGGAACAAAGAGTTCTGCTCTTTTATCATCTCTAATAGAGAGGAACTCACAGAAAACCATTGCTTATGTCTGCTTTGAAACATTTAATTAGACTGTGCGTTCAGCTGGGATCAGTGAATGAAAATATTCCACACACTCCTCAATAATAATAGTCTTTATCACTTTTTGCATAACCTCAACAGCGCGTGTGGAACTTCAGTCCACTAGAGAGCTGGACTGTAATTATTCTGTCTTCATGTGACCACATTGAGAGCAGTAAAAATCCAAAACGTTGTCAGGCATTATACCTCGGTGAGCGGTCAGGTGTTTGTCTGCACTTCAGGCTCTCGTCCTGAGGTTTGGAGACTTTCACCGCAGCAGCAATGGGGCAGCCTGAGAGACTGGATGGAGAGGAAATCAAACACATTAGTCTAATACACTAACTCATCTATAAACGGGGTACGGGATTTCAAACGGCTCGTCCGTGTGGATGTACCTCCGGTGGGTACTGCGGTTGCTGTTGACATGGCCCCTTCCTGTGCACCCGGGCGTGGGGCACTTGAGTACGTTCTCATGCATGGCCAGAACTGAGGGGAAAGCACAGAACAGATCAGACAGATGACACGAGCTAAGATGAGGAGGGAAAGAATATTTTAAATAGATTAACAATTAATTAGCATAAAAAGAAAATAAAGCTGGTAAATATTTACACAAAAATTCTATCTTTTTATGTCTTATAATATTATTTAAATACCTGGGACACTAAAGCCCACAGAGTAAAGATCCTTGAAAGACAGATGAAAAAAGCAAACAGCTTTCTCATTGTGAGAAATGCTGTAATGTGGCTGAAATGTAAATAGCTTAGTGCAAAGAAGAGCGAAACAAGACAGCTGATTATTTTCTTCAAAACAAATGCGTTGTTAAAGGTCTGCTGTGCATCCTTAGAAACTTCTTTTCTGTACATATCCTCCAATTAGTTTGTTAGAGTTGTCTATTTATTTTTGAATACTGCATTTGCAAGCCCTTTGATTTGCAAATACTGCCTCCAGTCTAAGAGCATGTGCTTTTTTGAAAAAGTTAATTACTTTTTCTGTTCCTTTTGTAACATTACTGTTTAATGTTGAATGTTTGTTGAATTATATTGAAATGACTTAACAATCGCCAGTGTGAAAAAAAAGGAAAAAATTCAATATTCAAACATTACAAGACATTTCCAGCAAAAGAAAGAAAAAGAAAATCCTTTAAGTTTATTTGAAAAGTTTTTTTTTTTTACACATCTTTGAATTGAACTAAATGTATAAGCGGGCCTATTTTTTCTTTGCGCTTATGCTAAGAGGATTTCAATTACTGCGGTTGATTGTAAATAGTAAAACCAGCAGTTTTTGTGACTAGAAATCATCTATCGTGCTGTGTGTATACAAAGAGCTTTTTGTATGACTTACTCTCTGGGGGGACTCTGACTTTGTGAGGACAACCAGACAAACTCCTGTGATGCGGGTAGAGACCCGTAACATGACCGGTGCCATCACAGCCAGGGGTTGGACACTTTATGTCCTTTTTATCTGTCCGTGGCGAATCTGTAAACACAGTAACAGAAGATTTTGAGGAAATAATTAGAAAGAAACTATGTTTCCTTGTCCCGAATGTGGAATGGATGAAGCGTAACCGACACAGTTCTTCTGTACTGTTCAGCTGACAGAACAACAAACTGAAGTATGATGCAAAACCAGATACATTTTTCACAACATGCATCTATTAATCTGTCATTTTAGTTAAGGCTGCAGTTTAACAGAGAGCATTCACTTCTTAATGCCCATCCATCGAAAGATTACATCTAGGATTACACATTCAGCTACAGTCATTTTAAGAATCAGAGGGAAACATGAGAGGTACATTAGGAGGATTTAAGACTTATGGTCATGGTTAAACATTCAGTTGATTCCTATCAAAATCCAATATTCTGAGTAGCACCAATTCCATACAAAAAATGTTCTCCTTTATTTTAGTCTGTTTATTTATTACTTTACTTGTTGCCAAAATGTTTTTAGTCCTTAAGAGGATTTCCTCCCTCTGATTTCCCCATCCCCCCTGCATATGCTTCATTTATTCTTTTCCATGTTTTTTGAGCACCCAATCTTCCAAATCACAAGTGGTCTATTTGCTTGACACTGGATGGAAGTATCTGTGTTTTTTTTCTTTTAAACAATATACTGCACGTTATTTTTTTCTTTATATTTATACCTTTCCCTCCATTGTAGTTAAACCTGTTGTCCATGTCCATCATCCTGTGGTGCCTCCTCTCATTGGTCATCTGCTCCATGAGGAACCGGTCCATCTCTCTGTAGGCATTGTGTAGGACCTGTCTCTGCTCCGTCTGGAGTGCAATGGCCTGCTCTAACAGGTTCAGGTTCACTCTTCCTCTACTCATTTCCAGACCTCTGTCTTGAAGGCCCAGAGCCCAGCCATCGAGCCGAGGTGGCCTTTCCGCCTCTGCCTCCTCATCGCTGTCGTCCTCAGTGGGGAGCAGTCTGTACCTTAAAGCTTCAGCTTGAAAAATACTCGCTCTGCTCATTGGAGCATCTAACTCTGGGATGTGCTCTTCTTTCACGTGGCTGTTCCTGACTAAAAGGTCTTCAGAGGCTCTGGAGGGACTGCAGTTTGAGCTGTTCCCCTTGGCAGACAGAGACAACGGCTCCCACTCAGCCTCCCTCGTGTCTCCGTATGGACTCTGTGGTGATAATGTGCCACTCATCCTGCCTTGACTTTGGTCATCTTCCTCATTATTAAGAAGGTCGTCATCATCATCTGCCATCAGTGGCTCAGAGGTATCTGGCTCATATTGTGGAGATCCATTAGATGTGACTTCAGACCATCCTAGTGAACTGATGGACTTTGCTGCTGCATCAGGGTAGCAGATTTTGTTTGGCACTCCATCAGCGTCTTTGAAGTTTCCGTCTAAAACAAAAAGACAACACTTATTGTTTTTGTGTGTTCAAGTTTCCGCACTCCAAACTTGATCTGTTTTTGTCCTTTACATACATGGCAAGAATTGCATGTTCTCGGTAATCTTCTTCAAATCTCTTTAAGGTTTTACATCTTGTGTTACTTCTCTAGAAATATCATCTTGAGAAAAACATGTTTTCATAACCACCTAAAGGATTTATAAGAAAACATGTTGTAATGGTCGCTGTCAACACTCATAAGGCTGGGAGATTTCCAAGTATTTCAGTCACATTCAATAATAGAAATATAAATCTTCCTTCTGCAAGTTCATGGTGAAACCTAGAGATGAAGAGCACAATTGCTTTTCACTTTGTTGTTGTCTCAATTTGGAGCAACAACCCAATTTAGATTTAGAGCTAGATTATGAAAGGATTTGTGATGCACTAGGCACAAAACATCAGCATTTGTTTTATCATTTGTGTGTATTTTTAAGTGCAAGCTGAGCGGCAGCGTGTTGTCATCTGACAAACTGATTTCAAAAACACATAACTGCTGTTTGGAGATGAGAACAGGAAAAGTCAGCAATATTCCTTAAAACACAGATGGAGAAAAATCACAAATATGGATTTAAAAGATAAATAAAATCTCTGTTGGATTTTATTGTGAGAGTATGTGTGGGTGTGTGAGTAAGTGTGTGTGCATGACAGAAACTGGTTTCCGTTATATACTGAAGACCAAAAATTTAAATTCAACAAATGAACTTCTTGAATAGCATTTGTTAGAACGTTTTTGAAAAGCCTTTTTTATATGAATCACCAAAAAATGCAAACATATGAAGTCATTTGAAATTATTTGTTTGATTAAATCTCTTTTTTAATCATCTTCAGTTTTTTAAAATCATGAGCATTTCTATTTATAGAATAAAATAAAGGGTCTCCAAGCTGTTTAAGTCGGGTAATGGATGTAAAAAGTGCTTTTGCTTATGCTGGAAACTTAAAACAAGCACTTAATTAATGCTGATATGTTTAAATGATTTATGCAAAGCCACAGAGTAACTGCTGATCAAAACCTTTTCTGTTTATTTTCTATATGCCGTTAAACGCATGCACAGATGATTGAACCCTTTTTTTAAGTATTGAGAAAATTTAGTTTTTTCCTGGAAATTTTATTTTAAAGACATTTAACGGCAGATGCCTAATGTTTATGATTTAAGAAGGTTTTAAACCACTCTGATGAGATTTTTCTGTCTGTCATATTTTTTTATTGTTAAAGACCTTTTTAAATCATTGTGGGTGAGATAAGAAAGTATATAAAATGTTACTGCCGCAAGTTTAGAGAAACGTGTACAATATTTATTTTTTTAATTGTACCGCTCTATGGCTTATTATTATAAGTGGTCTCACTAATTCAATTTCCATTGACCTCAGATTCTCCATCTTTTAGAATAAATCCCAGTCATATGTACAGAAAGCCAGAAGACTGTGAGAAGCTATAATGCGAGGTCAGTGGCTTTGGGTAATCCCACAAAATGCATCTAAAACACACATATAAAACAAACCGCACTTTCTTAACACCACAGATCGTATTAAGTCATGTTCAGTGATTAACAATGGAAAACTTTCATCTGGATTGATCAACCAAATCTCCCTTGATCCTTTATTAAAGGTCTTTGGACTAGGCTTTTTACTTTTAGTAGACTGAATTTAGGTCTATATCCACTTAAGTAGCTACACATTAAAGACCAAACCAAAAGTAGGATTCAATAGATTGAGAAGATAGATATGGATTGTGAAAATCAGATCACATGGACACAGGCCAGAAAGCTGGGACTTATTAATGGGTGCAATGAACAAACTTAATCCGTAGCAAAGGGGCTTAAAATCACTGTATTAAATGATGCTCATGAAACAAAACTTATTTTTTAAAGAGGCTTTTTGCCTTATAAATTATAGGGCAAAAAAGACATGAATGGTTTAAAATGTACTTCATTTGAACTTTTTTACTTTAGGCAATATTACATCATGTCAAATATTTTCTGCTAAGATAAAAATAAAATTCAAAGAAGTAGTGTGTCAAGGCAAACCTTGTTGAATGAAAATTTATAGCCAGTTAGACGTATTTACATTTATGAGGCAAGCAACAAGGGTTTTTGTTTTTCATCCAGATGGACTCCCAAGCCTGACACAGCCGCATACAGTCAGACGAGCGCAGACACACACACACACACACACACACACACACACACACACACACACACA